TAGGTAGGTAGGTAGGTAGATAGATAGATAGATAGATAGATAGATAGATAGATAGATAGATAGATAGATAGATAGATAGATAGATATTAGATAGCTAGATAGGGCCTCCCCACTTAACAATGAATGCTTTTTGTTTCATTTTAGGTATCAAATCTTTTCTAGGGTCATACTGCCCTGCAAACTTACTTAAAATTATCCCAAAGACGTATTCACTAGGGCTTTGTTGGTCTAAAAAGTATGTTTGATAATCAAGCACAAATACATGTAGTCTGAAGTGGGGCAGCCTTTGGCGGGGGTCACAAAATTACAGACTTGACCCTATTTGGAGACCAATAGATGTTTATCTCACAGGTATCTGCAGAGGACAGAAGACACATGCCACCATGCCATCACTGAGAAAGACTCTGCTGATGCTGAAGTGTTGAGGCCGAGTCATCTACATCATTTGTGAATAAGGTATGAGCCCCCTCCTCCCAGCCTCACCTTTTATACAGTTTGATAATTCATGACAAGTTCCTAAAGGTGACAATATTTTAAGTGATATGTGAACCTCGTTGCAATTCTGTTCTAACTTTCTCAGTTCATGTTACCTCTGAGCAATGTGATTTTCAAGGGAGTTGGCAGGAATGGAGACCACAGATGGAGTTGGTCTGTGAGTTGTCTCAAAGGTAGAGGAGCTCTAGAAATAACATGACTTACCATGTAACTATCACCCAGGATGAGATATGCAGATGCTATTTCTAGGAAATAATATAAGGCTTTGTTGTTTTCTCCCAAAGCCAGAAAATGGTGGGCTAGAGGCAGGATGACAATCTCCAGGATTTCCTCACACTGGCATGATTCCAGAGGGATAATGTCTTCCTCAGATGTCTTCATCTTTGTTATAATGAAGTCCAAGAAACTCAAAATCTTATCTCTGATTTCTTCAGAACTGTCCAAATGCAGAAGTAAATACTAGTAATGCCTTGAAGACACAGTCTGACTTTTGACATGAAGATATCATTTAAAACTATATTATCTTTAAACCTTTATTATCTTTAGTAAGAGAGCTAGATAACCACATAGACACTATTGGCCACACTCACCAGGCACACCCACATCCTTTCCCCCTCTGAATCTAAAAGATCAAACTACTGAGTAAACCAGTGCTTCTAAAACTCTTCTGATTCTAATGACAATTCTTTATACTCTACATCTGAAACAATGATCTGTGCCTGTACCTGAAAGTTTCAGGAAATATGTCAAATTTCTTTGGAATCCCTATTTTGGAAGAGGTGATCTCTTCTTCAGCTAGAAAATAAACAAACACATGAGTTGCGTGGGTTGTGGAAATGGTCCATGTGGCAGAGATGTCTGGTGTCCATCAAAGACACTTATTCCCTTTTCACTTACAGCTGTTGCTTCCCAGCCAGGAGCTACCCTTCCCAATACCCAGGGCATCTCAAGTGATGCAAGCATTTGCTCTGAATGGGAATTCAGTAAGAGATGATACGTCATCCTTGAGCTGAGATGGTTAGGTGTCTTCTCTACCTTCTCCTTCCACAGCAAATAATTCTGAACATCGAAGAGATAACAAAACTAACATAGAAGGAGCCTGTGTCCTTGATTTACTGAATGCAATGTTTGTGAAAATTCTCATTGGATCATTACATGTGCAGGAAATATATTATCTAGGTAGTAAGTCACTGAAATGCTGCCATAGTTGATTTATTCTGTAATAACTAAAACTAAAAATTAACAAGTCTGAAGAAAGTGAAATCAGTGTCTGGTGGAGATGTTTAAATGTTCCAAAGACTAACTAAAGGAAAGTTTGAATTTAAAACTTTCAATCTAACCAGACATCAATAGTTTAGAAAAATCTTAACTCACACATGCAGATCAAACACTGAGACACCGCTGTACTCAGGAAAAAGGAAGCTCACGGGTAATAAGCAGATCATGAGCTTGGGAATAAGATTGACCTGAGATGTAACAAAATCTGTCCCTCGTTCTGTGGCAGTAGACAAGTTAAATAACCTTCCAGAACCACAATTTTCTTGTCTTGTATACAATGAAACTAACCTTCCACCAGGCTGGTTGATGTGAAGATCAAATGAGAATGCACGTAAGAAGGAGAACAAATGAGACAAATAGCATTTTTTACCTATTGTGCGCCAGGCACTTTACATTACTTGCTCCCATTTTTAAATATCCTTATAATATAGAAGCTCTCTCTGCTTGCCCAGCTACACTTAGCCCATTATCACTGAGGTCCTCTGATTTGACCATTCAGCCCTTGGGGTCTCCCTGACCACCCCACTGAGGACTGGGGTTGGTGTTATTGCTCTCTATCTGGCATCCCTTACACCTAAAGTAAACAAGCCCCCTGAATTTTATACCCCTTGAATCTTCTACTCTGTTTTCCCAGATCATATGGCTGGTTTCTATTCATCTTTGGGACTTTTTAACTCTTCTTTCTCAGAGGGTCTTAAATCCCTGCCTTGGACTCAACTCCTCTTTTCTGGAGCCTTCACCTGCTTAGCCCTGACTAATTCTCTGCCATTCCTGTTCTTTTCCTGAGAAGATCTTGTTTCAAACTAAGGAAACTGACAAAGCAACAGCATTCTAACCTGTGAAGTTTGGGGAGCTTGCTCTTTCTCCCACTTTATCACCTCAGATTCCATCTCCAAGCCCTGTCGTGAATGAAGCTGGATCTGTTTAATCCCTTTGGATTTGATCGCTGGGTCACAGAGAACTTATCCCCAAACCCTCGCTGCCAAGGGCACAGTAAATTGGTTCTGCTGGACTCACTTACTCACATATTCCCCAATGTTTCCCATTCCCCCAGTTGGCTACTCTGCTGAAGTCTCATCACTGCTTTGCCCCAGCCCTCAGATCTCAATCCTCCTTCTAGGTCTAATCTCCATGTTCCCATGGATAGTTAAGACTAATGCAGAATGATATATGTTACTTTGAAATTCATGGGACTTAGCCATCTTCCGGATAGTATTCAAGTCCAAAGTGTTGAGCCGAATGTCTACTGTGAAGTGGTGATAGGGAATGAAGTCCCCACTCCGGCAGTGGTCACATCGGTGGGCATCTTCTTCTAAGAAGCGGGCACATTTCAAATGCATGGCCTTCTTCTGGTCCTTCAGCCACAACTCGTAGGCTGTCTTCTGCATTATGGGTCTGCAGAATCGAATGATGTGGCACTCAATCACTTCGCTTTCCAGTTCAAGAAGCTCTTCACTCACACTATGAGCTAGAGAGAGCAGAAAGGATTTTCAGCTAAGCAATGGACAATGAGTCAATTCCTAATGCAATGTAGATGCACCATTACTTATTTTTGCATAGAAAAACTAGAGTACAGGCCATAGGTGCAGTAGTGAAAGGATTCACCAGAGACAAAGTGGGGAGCAGACAGGTAGAACTGTGAAATCCACTGCTGAGGGGAACAGCAGTGAGACAGGAGAGGTCTGCTATGCTATGTGGGTCACCTCCCTGGATGGGGAATGAACCAGGCAGTGAGAGCACTGAGACTTAACCCCTAGGCCACCAGAGATGCCCTAGATGTGCCACTAACTAAGAGCACAATGAATCTCTTCCAGCTTTACTCACCCATGCCAGCAGTGGGCTTCAGGAACTGGGAGCGATAGTTGACCTCAAACGAAGGTGAATTCTGTCTTAGGGCCATTTGGAGCTCCTTGCCATTCCGGAAACAGTCAAAGACATTGGATTTTACTAGGGTTGCCAGGGCATTGATCATCATCTTCATGTTCCAACAAGGGAGAACCTCAAACAGCAGCTCTGTAGTGAAGATCTGGCCAATGATGGCTGCGCATCTTACCAGCATCTGGTGGGAAAGGCTCATGCTATCCAGTTGGACTAGAGAGATTTCTGCAAGTGGAAAGCCACACAGTAGGGAACTAGTCATCTCTCTTTATCAAGAACATTCCAGATATGGATGACTACCCTGCTTTACTGGTCCTTTTTACAGAAACCTAGCCAAGCTAAGCCAAAGGAAATATTTGTTTAGACCCTCCTTCAGAGCTGATGGCATTTGTGCTAGGAGTTCAAAAGATACAGGTAGGTCTAAAACTATACATGGCATAATGGCCACACAAAAGGAAGATGGATTTCAAAGGGTTCTGATGTTTTGTCAAAGAGTGATAAGGTCATGTAAGGAGAAGGTAGGTCATGGTGGACCACTCTTGTCAGAAGGGGTAGGACCTGACTGACTTAGGTAGGACCTGTTGACTTAGCTAGTTGGCTCTCCCCATCTCCCTTACTGGCTATTATCTTTCGCAGAATCTTCCAGCACTAAGGCTCTTCCTTCTCTACCCCAGAGAATCATTTATTCTTGTGACAATCCATTGCCATCTCTAGGCTCATGTTCAGAGCTCTTAGCTCCAATCAAGATGCCCTACCTAAGCTCAAGTGCCATTGCTCATGTGGCTTCCTAAACATCTAGACCAGAAAGACCTCATACTTCTGAGCAACAAAATTTTAATTTCTCAGCTTATTTACATCACACTAAACCAAGCTAATCTACCTTCCTACTTTAATAGACACAGTGAACAAAACACAGATAGTGTTCTTTTGAAGGTTGAGAATCTTGAGGTACTTCCACATCATCTAAATACTTGAATATTTATAAATGTCATTGAATTGAATTGAATTCATAGTAGAACATTGCTGAAAAGTTATTTTTCTTTAAAAGAATCATGATATATATAAAAATTCCCATATTTGTTACTTCTTATAAAAGTAGTTGGCAGGAAATCAGCATTAGATTTTCTATTTGGTTTCTGTTTAATTAAGAAAGTGCAGCTTTATGCTGCTTCACAAAACTTTATTCATTTATTATTATTTTATATATTTTTTACATCAGTGTTCATTTTTATAAATGCATGCTTTCTCATCTTGGCAGTAGCCCCCGTGAAATTCCCAGCACCCACTACCATCACTGTAGTCCCTTGTGCTCTTCCCATCCCTACTCCTGCCCCCACCTGCAGTGTCTCTCTGGTTTATAGTTGCTTGTCGACTTTGGTTTTTACTTATTATAATCACCTTATCACCTTTTTTTTTTTTTCTGATCTCTTATTTGGATCCCCTACATTCTGCCTATAAGTGAAACCAAATCAGATTCCAGAACATACACTGGAGAAAGTGGGTCCCACAAGTCTGGCACAGGCCCTTCCCACTGCTTGAGCGGGCACCATCACCTGTTACTATCTTCCTTTCTTCTTTTTAAAAAGTCATTCTTGATAGAGCATAAGGGGAGTCTAAGTGCTGGAAAATGAATAGCAGTTCAGGTTTTCTTTACCTTTCAATGATGCTGGTGGTGACATGTTTTTTAATCTCACACCATATGCAAGATTGCAGACTTCTTCATTTTTCTCCTCATTATTGAGAGTAAGTACTTTTAATTCCTCAGTTGGCTTAGCAAAATTTTCTGTGGAGAAATAAAAGCAAAGAAACACTGAGAGTCTATCCTGTTGTCATCAAGATATGACAGCTAGAGATGGAGAAAATGGCACAAAGAGTTGGCAGAAGTTTGCTTACCGACTATTCTGGAGTAGTACTGTGTTTTACGTAAACCTGATTATGAAAATCTAAATTTATTTTAAATGTTTTGCCTATCCTACTTTCTCCAAAAGGATTGGTAAAAATTATTAGATGGCTTCCATAGTATATGCAGCTTAACAAGAATTTGGTTTCAATGTTATCAGGAGTATATAGTAACATGAACTTGCATGCATGCTCACTAACTGCAGTCAGATGCAAAAATGTTCTGTGGGGCACTGTACTTTACTTAAGACATGGTTATAATCAGAAGAAGACATTAAAATGGTGAGGCTCAAATAGTAAGCTTCCCAATACTTTTGTCTCCTGGTACTCCAAAATGCACCACTAATTTATTCCCCAGTTATTTGTGTAAACTTGAGTTGCAGACACTGTAATAAGTGAGATGTAGGAGATTAGAGCTAAGTTCCCCATGGCCTTGTACACAGTGAGCTAGACTGCAAGGCAGCCCCTGTTCCACATAGGTAGGCACATGCGCAGAGGGTTCCTATCAATGTGTACACAGTTATGAAGCATTCTTTATGCTCCATTGACTGTGAAGACTATAAACATGGCTAAAGCATCCAGTCTTCAAAGAGCTTCAAATCCATGGAGACAGATACTTGAGTAACTAATCATATTACTAGGAAGAATGACTCAAGAACTGAAGGGCAAAGGGTTGTTGTGGGAAGAAGCAATAATTAATTAAGATTTGGTGGGCCCAGAAGGGCTTCAATGGAAGAGGGTTAAGGATAAGGGTTAGGGATAGAATTGAAGAATGTCCTCAAGGAGGAGTAGACTCAGGTAGAGAAACCAAGCTGAGGACTGGTCAGAGACTTAAGGAGAAAGGTAGGAATAGGAGCAGTTCTGGCTTAGGGAAGCCAAGTGAGAGTCACATACTAAAAAGGGGAGCAGGTATGAGTATGGCTGTGTGTGCATGTCTGCAAGTACCACACATGCGCGAGCTGGAGACAGGAGAATGGGAATCAAGGCTATGACTTGATCCATGTTCTTGTATACTTTTTTATTTCCCTTTCCAGCATTAGCTCTCAATCAATATTAACTTTAATCACTCAGCCAGTATTAACTGCCTAAACTTTGAGATTCAGGAGCATTAAGATTTCTTACCTCCCAGAGCTTACATTCTAATATTGGGAGACAGAAAACCAACAGCAGATAAATAGATACTAGGAAAATCTTAACAATGTGATTGAGTTGTGTGAAAATCAGCATGGTGATAGAAGTATGGTCAGAAAAAGTGGCCCTGAAGAGGAAATGCCTGGGGGCAGGAGCCAGCTGTATGAAGCACCTGCTGAAAGGAAACAGCCTTAGGGAGGCAGAAAGGAGCCTGAGAGTAGGAGGATCAGCTGGCGGCCTTGTGCTGCAGCAAGGTTCAGAGCACCTGTGAAGTCAGAGGAGGGGTTGTCCGATCTTGCAGGGATTTCCGGTTCTGCCTGGGAGTTTGGATTTTATTGTAAACTCCGTGGAAAGGTTTTTTTTTTGTTTTTTTTTTTTTCTTAATGCTTGTTTTAGAAAGTGTTACCAAAAGTTAAGAATAACAGTGTATCCTTATTCAAACTTACCTATTGTTTTGGCCCATGTATTTGTTTTATCCTTTGTGCTCTGTGTTCACATTTTTTCTGAAGTGTTTGCATCTAAATTGCATAATTCCTGCCCCTTTACCCCCAAATACTTTTCTCTGTATTTCCTAAGAATACCAACATTCTCTTACATAACTTGAGCACACTTAACCATTTCAGAAAATTCAAAATAGAAATTTAAAAAGTATTGAAACAACTCGATGGAAAATAGGAGAAATGAAAATCTGAGGCATGACAAACAAACCAAGACAAGTAAATGGCAGATTTAACATATCAATGATTGTATTAAATATCTGAATATACCAATTAAAGGTAAAAATCATCAGAATGGATTTGAAACATGACTCAATTATAAGAAAGTCACTTCAAATGTAATGAAATCAGGCAATTGAAAGAATAGAAAAAAGATATGCCATGCAATTATTAACCAAAAGAAGGCAGAACTAGCTATGTTAATGTGATGCAAAGTGAACTTTGGAGCAAAGAAAGTTACTAGAGACAAAGAGGAATGTCATATAATACTGATAAATATATCAACACACCAAGAAAATTAGCCTTCCTAAATCAGGCACCAGACAACAGAGTTACAAAATATATGAAATAAAATGTTAGAACTGAAAGAAATGCCCACAATTATAATAGATTATTTCAATATTCCTCTCAGCAAATGATAGACTAAGTTAAATAGGAAATAAACCAAAATATACAATTGTGAAAGAAATGTCCTCAATTATAATAGATTATTTCAACATTCCACTCAGCAAATGATAGATAGTTAAATAGGAAATAAACTCAAGTTTAGATTAAATAACCCCAAGATTAATAACTCACTAACACATCGACCAACAGGATCCAATCAACATTTCTATAATACTCTACCAACAAAAGCAGAATGCACATTATTTTCAAGCATCTACATAACATTGGCCAAAACAATCCCTGTCTGAGCAATAAAACAATCAAATTTAAAAGCATTGACACTGTTCAGCAGATGTTCCCCAATTACAATAAAGTTAAACCAGAAACCACTAACATAAATAACAAGGATATCTTCAAATACTTGGAAACCCACAGCTTTCTTCTAAATAATCCATGACAAAAGAGAAAATCTCAAGGGAAATTAAGGAATCCATTAAATGATAAAAATGAAAATACCAAAATTTGTGAGACTGAGCTAATGCATTACTGAAACTGACGTTTGTAGCACTAAAATGTGGGTGCTACAAAGCAGCAGCATCTACAAAGCAGCAGCAATCTAAACTCACACCACCAAGGTGAGCAGATTGAAAGTCCATGATAGCAAAAGGAAGAAAATAGTAACAGCGGAAGTCAATGCAATTGAAAACAAGAGAGAAAATCGACATAACAAAGAGCTGATTCTTTAGAAAGATCAAGATTGACAAATAGGTAACAAGACTAATGAAAAAGAGAAAGAAAGCACACATTACCATATCACAAGTGGCAAATACCTACCAGTGAAGACTGTGATAGCCCCCAAATCTCAGCGATTAAATAGTAGAGACGGCAATGGAACTCTGGACCCCACTTCAAAGCCAAAAGTGTGTCCTGGCTGCGTCTTTGCAGTTCTCGTTTCATGGAAGAGATGATTATCCCTTCAACTTCCTGTATCTTTTTTATCTAGTCATAGTCACATTTTTATTTATTTTTTGGAGGGTGGACTAGCTTATGAATTCTTCTTCTATCATTGCCAACTCTCTAGATAAATATAGTATCTCCTCCACAAATATTCCCTCATCATTCACATTAGTTTAATCCTCTGAGTTCCAGTTTCTATTCTTACCCAATTCTATAAGCCCCACGCTTTTTTCTCCCTTCACTAAAATTATTTTCCTAAAGATTCCAACTGGCTTCCTTCATACTGATGTCATTTTAGAGTTCAGGGTCCTTGGGTTCACTCTGGGAAAGGTTTCACCAGAGCTCCCCCTTCAGCAGCAGTCAGTGAGTTCCCCAGGTGAGTTTCTCCATGAGACAGAGACTCAGCTATTATTTAAAGAGCAGGTTTAATAGGAGCAGGGACAGACAGAGAAGGACACTTGCATAGGCACAAGCGGGCAGGAAGAGCTGCCCCGAAAGGGACAGGCTTGCTGAGGCAGGCCTGTGTGGTTGCAGGTGGGCAGCCCTAGGAGAGCGGCCTCCGCTAAGGGAGGTCAGTGCAGAAAAGCCCTGGCGTGGTGTAGGTCATGGGCAGGCAGGAGGCTGCTGCCCTGCAGGGCCAGTGGAAAGAAGCACCTGACAGGCACAGATGGGCAGAGGCTGGCTGCCCTGAGCCAGTGCAGAGACTGCTCTGATATAGTCCTTTTCTCTTGGGGAAGGGCTCACTCATCGTGGAGTGGCCTGTTTGCTGGTGATTTTGGATAACGATGTCGAGTCTCACCGTGGCCCAATCTCTGTATCTTTACCCTCAGGTCTGTGCTTCCAATATTCCCTACAGCAGTTTGACACAGCAGTCTGAAATAGAAGTCACCATGACTGGCTTATTGTCGTGTTAGTTCCTCTGCCACCACCTCCTTGCATGAGTCAGGTTTTAACCTTGTGCTGTCTCCTTTTCTATTCTTTTCCTCCATCAGTATCATCATTTCAAAATTTCAACCTCATATATATGTCTGTGGCATGAGAACCTTGTTGGCAATTTGCTTGGACTAGTCATTTTACCTCTGGAAAACATCCCCCTCCACTGCCCCAGATACCACCTAAACCCCTCTTTGTCTGGGTGACACGATGCCCCCATATTCTTGTATGTCTATGTCAGTTATGCATCCTTTCACCCGGTTCAGTGAGTCCAGGCAATGTTAAGTTCTCTCAGAATCTGGAACATTAGGTTCAAAATTCCTCCCCAAACCTCTGACCCAGGAAGCCTCTGGATGGTCTGTTCTTGCCCCCCTCTCTGCCCTCCCCCCAGGGACTTACTGAACAGGTTAGTCCAGGTGATATTTGTCTTTTCTTCATATTCCATTGGTTGGAAAACAAGTACCTTGTGTTTATCGAGGTTTTTAAGCAATTCTTCACAGTAAAATGGAATCCCACAGCTTCCCTCTACCAGATACCTAGAAGGACAATGAGACAGCCTGTTTACGCCCATGAACCACCTTTTAGGAACAAAACATTTGAGACTTCTTCATCACTTGAAAGTAATCTCTTCTAATTTCCACTTATCCAGTTTGTTTTCCATTTGTAGAGTTTGTTCTTTTTCTTTTTCTTTCATTTATTAATGACATGAAACATTTCCAACTTTCCAAAGCCAAAAGTAAATATGAAGGCACATCTGTTGTCTTGCTGTCCTTCCTTGCCTTATAAGGAACCATTTTAATTTGTTTCTGGTCTATCTTTTCAATATTCCCTTTAAAAACATATTGGGCTGCTGGAGTAGTCATGGTGTATATTTTTCGGTTTTTCAAGCAAATCCAATAGCAACAAGGGGCATCTTGTTATTCCCCCCTTAGATAAAAGACAGCATATTGTTCTTAATTGTGGCAATATTGGTTTACAACATGATATATAATTTAGGGGAGTAAGTTCACCTCTCCTCAGGTGCATGTCACCACCCCCATCTCTAAGGCACCCAGATTCCTCCAGCATAGTCCCTGGGACTCCTTCCCCACTTTATTACCACCCAGTGTGTGGCTACCCTATTTTATTCTGCCTGTCTTCTTGGAGATGGATGTCTGAACTGTTTTCAGTTTTTTATAAATATGAATAATCCCCCCTCCATAAAAAAAAAAACGTTTTCCATATGTGACTTTATATTTTTGTCAATATATCCTTCAAATAGATTATTAGATATATATAATAAAATAGGTAGTAAATATGGATACATATACAGATAGATAAGAGCATGGCTATAGATATAGAGACAGCATTCACCACAGACAGAGAGACAGAGATAAAGGGAGAATATGACCAAATCCATGCTTGGAGTTATTTTAAATGAGACTCGGTCAAAGACATCTTTCTTCCAGGAACAAGGCAACCATCATAAAAAAAGGATGCAGTCACCCAGGCAGATTGCAAACTAGCAGCCGAAGAAAAGATGTGTCTTTTCTTCCAGGTGTTAAGGGGACTGCTGTCAATCCCCAGCAGAGGGAGCACTGAAGCTCAGAAAGCACCCAGCAGAGCCAGCTTCCAGCTAACAGAGGCAGAAAACACCACTGCCTGCATCTTCAGCTAAACACAACGCCTGCATCTTCAGCTAACTTTGCTGTCATGTTAACGAGTTTGCCTTTGATATCCTCGTCCCTCACTACACCCTTAGTCTGTGCTGATTAAAGTGAGCTAGCCATATTCAGCGTGATGAAAGAGAAACCAGGTGTCACTCAAAGTTTCCAAGGGAACCGTCTATGGAAAAAGTGAGCAGACCTGTCTTGCCAGTGTGATGAATGAGTTTTATGAAAGGAAGTTGCTAAGACCTCAAGACCAAAAGAGGCTACTCACAAGTCCAGTTCTTTGGGGATTCCTTGGACATTGAGGTCCAGGCAAGCCTTGTTGCGAATGTCCTTAGGCTGCACAGGTCCAAGGGTGACGTAGGTGGTATTTCTGTTCTTCATGATGGCACTGGCAGCCTCACAGGGGTTGTTGGTGAAGGGTGACAGGGACATGATGATAAAGATAGGGAGAGTTCGGATAAGCTTCTCCATAAAGGCCCAAGAGGTGGTATCGACAAACTGGCTCTCATCGATGATGAAAATAATCCTTTCCTCTTTCACTGTCTGGACAAGGTGAGAGACAAACACATGCTATAGGGTCTCTGGGCTTTATACTTGTACGTAATGGATATGCATGTGCAGTCATTGAATTGGGTGCTAAATTATATTGTTTCTTTTTTTATATGAATTTTAATCAATTTAGATTTCCATTAACTTAGAATGTGAGAGATTTTGGACAGAGCTGTCTGAAATGTACTACTATGTGGTCACATCTTTATGTAAATATAAGGCAAATACCTAGCCCTTGGGGTTAGGTAGTGAATACACAGTACAGAAAGGAAGTTTATACCACTCTAATCTGAACTCCAGAATATGTTACACTTAAAAACAGACCACATGGGTCATTTCTTAGGTAAACTACCCTTTCCTAACAAGTGTGAATTATTTATTCACCCATTAAGCATTTATTCTGCATTTACTAGAGTAGGTGCTGGGGATTCAGTGTTAAACAAAATATAAAGCCAACATGTTAGTGTTGACCCCTTGCATCATGGGTCCTTGTATTTCCATGATGTGAGGCATCTAAATGAAAAAACAAATTTCCTCTCACCACTCCAAACTACTCTTGACTTCTTCTGGTTCCCTTTAAGAAGAGAGTGGGTCAACCATTCTTTCCCTTTATGTTTTTAAAATCAAAAGCAGTGACCGTTATTTCAAAATGTCAAATTTCATAACACAACCACTAGGAAGTGCTATAATTTGCCTGGTCACATGTACACAAGCAGTCTGCCCTTACAGCTCTATTCTGTTACGCGAGAGCATGTCACTCACCTGTGAACATTTTAATGGATGAGGAAATTAGCATTATTTTGTTTTGCTTTTGACTGATACTTTTTAAAAACAGGTGAAAATGTGAGTTTTAGTTGTTAGCTTTGTCAGTGAATTATTTGTGAATTGAAGAGTGTAAACAGGTATCCAAAAAAAGTATGAAATCATTAATACAACATTGGCCCCAGTTTCATCATATTTGATTTGTGGAGACTGAATTGAGTTCTCTTTAATGTGAGTAAAAGCCAACATTTGCCATACCCTTCCTATGCCACTAGCACTTTGAGAAACTCTTTACATAAATTAAATCATTTCATCTACCTAACACTCACAGGAGGTGTGCTATTGAAAGCCTGCTGAGAAAATCTAGCACAGAAAGGTTAACTAACTTGCCAAGGTCACATGACAGCAAAAGGCTGTGCCATATGTTTAAGGTTTCTCTTTAGGTTGTACATCAGAAACAACTGAGTCATTTTAAAACAAAGTCACCAACGAAACAAACTCCTATACCCAAACTAAGCCCTTTTGAATCTTTAGGGGTTAAATGCATCACCCCAAATATCCAGATTTTTAAAGAAGCTTGTTTGCAAACTTGTAATGCAAAAATGCCAAAGTCTGACATTTAGGAATGTCAAGACACTGCCTTGTATATTTGCCTGGTGGGGAGGAGGAAGAGGCTGTATTGGAAACTTAATGCAATGTCACACACTTGTATTGGTCATTTACATGTGTTAGATTCTCTACTGATCAATGATGATTAAGAGGTTCAGTGTCTTTAAGAAGCTTAATCTCCTGATGGGGAGAGACATGTATGTGAGTAACAAATTGAAATAGAGTGTGGTAAATATAGTAAGAAATATGTTTGCAGCTTTACAGAAACATAATGGAAGAGGCAATAGTCAAGTCTAGTTGATTTGGGGGTGTTCTCACTAAAGAGATGACATTGAAGGATGAGTAGCAATTCTCCAGGTTAAAAAATATATTTTAGGCTGTTATAGCACGGGGAACTATTTGGATGGTATAAAGCTTGCATGGGTGCAATTTGCATATATTCTGATGGTTTCATGTAGTATAATTGGCATGGGGACTTGTAAGGTACAGATATTTGTTGGAAAGATATGGAAACTGTCCAGGAAGAGTTAGAAACTGAAGTACAGCAGGCAGCTGAGAAAGGGGAGTTTCAAAGGTGTCTTGCAGTCAAAAATAGTAGGAGTTGGCAACTGAGTAGTTATAGTAGATGTGGTCACTGGTGAGGAAGAAGGGAGCACAGATAACTTTAAAGGATGCATGAATAAATTTGCCATCAACTAAATCAAAGATCAAGATCAGGCTGAGGAAGAATGGACAATGGTAAAAGGACAAAAAAATGGATGTTTAACAGTGTAGAAAAAATAACTCATCAAGAGTAAGTTATTACACCCAAGAAGAAATATAGACAGTTCTTAAAATGTGATTCTGGTGCTTTTAAGGGAGGTGGGAACTAGAATATAAATATGGTGATCGTGAGCATGTATGCACTATAGTGGGTAGACAATACTCAGGGAGATGAGTATGAGATGTTGGGTGAATGAGACATACAATCTAGTCACTTCAACTGTATAACCTTATAAGCTAACTGCTAATACTTTCCTTATTATAAATGACAAAGCAGAAGTATAGACAGGGTAAGTCACTGGCTCAAGGCTACTCAGGTAGCAAATGTAAACTGAAGGGTTCAAACGTTGATAGTCTGACTAGCATCTGCACCTACAGCTGTATGTATATATGGCATCTCAGAAAGAGAAAGAAAAAGGGGGCTGGCTCTAAGGAGAGGTCGAGCTCCCAGGAGAAATAATGGGAAGGGACTCCTTTCAAGTATGACTAAATGGCTGACAAAGTTTGGAAGGATGGAGGAGCATAAAACACGGTAGGATAAAGTCTTCACATATTTCCAAGCCTCTCATCAGTGGATTCTGCTCCCCTCAGTCACTGAACTTCATGGTAAGACACTGAGTTTCCTACCCTGCCCTTCCCCACCCCCATTACTGGGTCCACAGATGCTCTTACTTGCTCCAAGATCTTCATAAACAATGACTCCAATAGCTTTTGTTTTTTCACAGTGGACATCTTGGAAACCTCTCGTGAAATAGGGAACTGTAAATGAATTATGACAATATTGACTATGAGAAAATAGCAAAGAAAACTACAGGTTTACTGAGAGTAGAGCATTCCTGTGAAAGCTTTAGTAAGCTGAAATAGCAAAGCAACTACAATGAATTATATATGGAAAATTTTGAGGCTTCCAGACCCACTGTACCACCCACCACTCATACCAACTAATATGTCAAAATAATACAAACTTAAAATAACAGTAACCAAAGGCAACTGCAGGAATGTGTGTCACACACTAGGTATCACATGGTTCTTGGGAATGACAGGGTGGGGCCACTTTCACTGGGGTGCAGCTACCCCTAGAATAGCTACTGCAAAACCAACAGGGTTGCTTTTATCACTTTTTGTTATAAAAGTTAAAGCCCTTTTTGCATTTGTTTTACTTAGGAAAAATGGATATTAAGGTAAGTCCTGTGGTAAGTGGCATATCAAGAACTTTCAGACAGCATAGGCTACCTGTTCTTTATGAACTGGGCAAACAACGTCACTGTTCTGTGTCTCCAAAGCTTCATGTATTAGATAATCCTTAATGTCCCTATATCTCTGGCTCGAATGTTTTATCACTGAATAAAAAGATGTGAGGAAGATCAGGGCACTCTGGTCTCTGCCTTGGCAGTCACCTGAGAGCAGAGTGACATGTTCTCCAGGCCAGTGAGGCTGGTAGAACTATGATGGAAAGCCGGGGGGGGGGGGGCGGGGGGGGGATGAAAAAAGCAGGTAGCCATTTGAATTTGTTTGAGTATAGGGTATTTCTAGATACCTTTCCTGTGTCTCAGGAAATTGGATGCTCACTCAAGAGAGAATTGGTTATCACTTCCTCACTACCCAGATGTTCCAGATGAGCAAAGACAATAAAGGCCAAAGAAACACTAGCTCATCAGGAAGAGTTGCTGCCTTGCCCATCACTATTTCTTGTGAAAGACTAATACTAGTCAGTTACCTGGACATGGAAAATGTCATTAAGAAGACAGTAGAACTTTTCATCCAACAGTTTTTTGAGTTTATTTTGAAGATTACTCTGTCGTTCTTTATAATGTTTACAAGTATCCAAACCTAGTACATTGGCCATGAGTATCTGGATGGCATAAAAATTCTGATGGAAGCTGATCTTAGTCAATGCAATAGCAATAGTCCTATTTATAAGAAAGCCAAGAATCAGAAGAGAGTCTTTAAATATCTATTTTGAAAATCATAAAAGTTGAAGGAAAGTTCTCTTTGTATCCAATTGTATTGACAGAGATGTCCCAAGCTTTTGGGAAGCTATTCATTATCCCCATTTCAGATACACTCCCCCATTCCACTATGTCCCTACATCCTGATAATCCAGCCTATCCATCCTCTCTTCTCCAGCCCTAGGCCTCCCCATACTCTCATCTCTACTACTGAATAGTGCGCTATTATCTCTGCCTCATGACAGGGTCCCTGAACTTGCACCTTCATGGAAGCTTGAAGTTTCTAGAGAGATGTGTGTCCTCTCTCCTTTGTGTAGTCACTCAGTTGCCTAGAGGTATAAGTCTGGACTCCCCTCTGCAACATTCAAGATCTTCCAAGGCTTCATGGTATTTCTCTGCCTAGATGTCTACCACCAACACACTGACACTGGTTCTCTGCACTGACAGCTGTTTCTTGTCTCCACACATGGGTTTAGTCTCTCTCTTCAGGCTGGAATATTATCACTTCTCAGTTATACCCAACCCCCCCTTTCCTATTTTGTCTGTCTCTGCTTAGTTGTAGCCTGAAGCCCCAAGTTTGGGTTGCATACCCCTCCTCCTCATAATACTTTATTGTAGGCCTTTATTTTGTCCTTACCATGTTCTATTCTTAGTGTAATCTTAATTATTCTCTTTTTCTCTCTCTCCTTTTTTTCTGTGAGAGCTGCTTGAGAGCAAAGATTAGCTATTACATGTCTTTAGGGCATTGACACCTGTTCCAGTTGACCCATAAACCTCCCAAATTCATGTGTTGAAATCTTTTTAGTCCTCAATATCCAAAATGTGACTTTATTTGGGAATTGGGTGTAGTAACGGTGTAGGGTGACATAAATCTAATGTACCTGTTGTTTTTATAACAGGACACAGACACAGGGAGAACACCATGTAACGTTAAAAGACAGACACTGGGTGATGCCTTTACAAGTCAAGGAACTCCAAAATTCCCAGCAACCACCAGAATGTAAATGTATTTGGAATATATTTTACCTCACAGCTCTTGGAAGAAGCTAATCCTTTTGACACCTTGATCTGGAACACCTAGCCTTCAGAGCCATGAGGCAATAAATTTCTGCTTAAGCTGCCCAGTTTATGGTCATTTGTTACTGCAGCTCTAGCAAACTAGTACAGATCTCATGAGTTCCTGGAATGTAGTAGGTAAACTGTGATAGAAGACATGACTTATGAAGCCCTCCCTGGTGGCACAACGGGTTAAGCGCGCACTATGAAGCTAGCCACAACTGCTTTGGCACAAGTTTGATCCCCAGCCAGGGAGGCAGACCTCTCCTGTCCCTCCTGCTGCTCCCTTCAGCAGTATATTTCAGTGGATCTGTCTGTTCTGCTCCCTGCTCTGTCTCTGTGAATCCTCTCTGCCCCTGTACCTCTGTCCTGTACCCCAGTTCTATATGCATAAATAAATAAATCTTAAAAGAAAAAAAAGAGAGAGAGAAGACATGACTCATGAATGTCTCCTGGTTGTTGTGAGTTACCCCCTCAGCAACATTAGGGGTATTTTTTAAATGGCTTTCTTCAGACCTGACATTTAAAAAGAGCAGAAGTACAGCTGAAAATAGCATAAGGTTAATATGCATTTTCCCCTCAAAACTGTTAGGTCAGGTGAATGTGAGCTACGAACACCATCACCTTGGGCCTTGGCACTTTTGTTAAATACCACACTGTCCTCCTCTGTCAGGGGCTTGCGAATTGTCACAAAGAGAACCCTTGTGCATGCTTACAGGGCAGAGAAAAAGTGTGAGGTAAGTACATTAGTTCTGTCTCCCAAAGGAAAATCCCAAGGGCTATCCTTTTCTTTTCCCATTCTCAGGGCTAAGCGGTTTGAACTAGTGATTCTCTGGTCAGTCAGCTGGATAAAATTAGGTGTTTGTTCTGCAGGCTCAGTCTAGCCTTAGTATTTACGCCAGTTGTTTTCAACCTGTCTGACTTAGGATTACCAGGGAAACTTTCAAATACTGCCACCTAAGTCCCTCCTGGCATTAGATCAGAACTTCCAAGGGTAAACCTAACTTCTCATATTTTTGGCTCAGAAAATGCGTTATTTGCATTTGGTGCATTATTTATTTAGCACACAGAGCATGGAGCCCAAATAATTGATAGATTGCAGACAGTTTGCATAAGGTTAAGTTGTACAAAGGAGAGAAGCATTCAAATAAATTAAACTCTTAGAGATGTTAGGATTCTCATCTGGGTTCAGATGAAATGATCATTGCAAGACACTCACCTGTGGTTCTCACCTTGGGCCAGGTACTCAATTTCCATAAGTATCTGGCTTTTTCCATATCCTGCCAATCCTTCATACATTAGGACTCGGCTGCAGTTTGACATCAAAAATTCCTTCATAGTACATATGAAGTATTTGATCTCCTTATCACGTCCTGTTATTTTTATTTTTTAAAAAGGGAGCAAATCCAATCAACTTAAAGATTTTTTAAAAAATCTGTTCTAGAGCTTTCTGATTTATAAATGGCTTTACAGTTTTGATTCCCACAAGCTGTGAGGGAAAGCGTTCTTAAAAGGTTAATTATAATGTCTATTTAATTATAGTGTAGAAAACTGAGATTAGTATAGATTACACCACTAAGAATTAAGCCAGAGCTATCTGACCTAATGCTTGTCCTTTTTCTCTTCTTTCTTTTTTATTTTTGTTGTTTATAAAACACTAGACATAATCTACAACTTATTACATGAGGAAATAATTGCATTAAAGTTAAGGGTCATGTATTGAACAATTGTGGATAAAATATTTTTATTTCTGCTTCTGTGAAGCTACCTTGCCCTCCATAAGGAGAAAGGACATTTACATCAGGGCTGAAGAATTAGCAGTGATAGAAAAAATTCACTTTGCTTTCAAAAATCATGTATAGATTGCTTCTGTCATAAGAATAAATTCTTGGTGAAAATAAATTATAATTTTTTCTGACTATAAAACTAAAACAGTCTCAGAAAATAGAATCTTAGAATGAGAATCTTAGAGAAAGAAAAAAAGAACTTCAAAGTCACCTTGAGTTATGATCCTGCCACTGTTATTCTTCTTGTGTATTTATATATATATATGTAACAGGATGCTCAGACTGAAATCTGAAACTCAACCCACAGTCTTTGAAAGCTGGGTGACAAGTTGCTGGGAGTACTGTAATTTTAAAGGAGTGAGCAATTTCTCTCTAAAGTGTTGGGAACACACATGGGGCCATCACCACTTCTCTGCTTGATGGGTACCACAGAGGGTCATTTTGTTCTCAGCAGTGTACAGTGGTCCCCCCTCATCTGTGGGGTATATGTTCCAAGATTCCTGATGGATGCCTGAAGCTACTGATAGCACCAGGCTGTCTTTGCGTTATTTTCTCCTCTGCATTTATAGCTATGATAAGCTATCACAGGAAGAGATTACCAATAATAGATACTAATGAAATAGAACAATGGTCACAATAAACTGCAATAAAAATTATCTGGATGTATAGCTTCTCTTACAAAATATCTTATTGCAAGCAGTATCTTAGGCCTTCATCGACAGTGGGTACTGAACAAGCGCAGGGAGGGGAATTACTGTAAAGATTTATCCAGGTATTATTAAATGTCTGTTGAAAACCAGAGCGACTAACCTAATTTACATGTTTCTACAGAGAAGCTAAGTATCTTGCTTAGTAATGTAAACTTCTGAGTACGGTTTAATGAAAAACTACTCTGCAGACTATTTGCTTCTTTTGGATGAAATAATTCCTTTCTGGAAATGCATTTGAAATTCAAATTTGTGAGATGCCTGATGTTCTTTTTGGGCCTGAGACTTTGCATTCAGATCAAACTCAGAGGGCCACATAGCAGAATTTTCCAGCTCTGTGCATTCTCTTCACATAGCACACATATAACTATGACCTTATAGATTGCCTTTTTAGCTGGAATCCAAAGTAAGTTTGACTTGAAGTACATGAACCTTGTAAAGATGTATCTTGTATCTAAAGATGTTCTTCAAACCTGAGATTTTATGTATTTGTGACTCAGAAAAATCCCATTCATTATAATTTTGTTGTCATCTATATTGTTTGAACATACTATTTTATGTACAGAGTCCTGGAGAGAAGGGTATCCCCTATACTTCAAAGCTCTGACAGTCTGTTTTTACTATAACTTTAAGGAATGACATATGGACCTGATCTTTATTTATTGATGGTGGAATCAGGGCAAGAAAGGTGTCTGGACCAGACCACCCAACATGACTGCTATATTGAGTTTGCAACCTTGTAGGAAGGGGGTAGTTAATCATTATCCAGTTAATCATTACCACAACTACATCTTGGAATGGAAAGTAAGGCTTCAGAGGAAGGTGAGATCAGGCCTTCTTTCTCTTCTCTTGTCTTCAGTAGTTTGGGGATCTGGACTTTTAAGAAGAGACTTTCATGCACCTCACTGCATGAAATTGGGGCTTTGCTATTGGCCCAAGTGCCAAGTACTCTTCTGGAACTGTCTCCTTTAGGTTTTGCTGATATCGACGGTCTGTCCTAATGTTCCCCCAAATTAATCTGCTTAATTTCCTGGAGCAATTATGAGCAGGGTTTAACTTATGGTGATATTTCTAGGGGAATTTAGGTTGAACAGTGGAAGGATTGGCTGCCTTCAGAACCCACAAGTCAACTTTCATGGGAACTTTCCCTTCAGAGGGAGTATCCCTACCTCATTTTATCTCTGTTTTCCTCACCAGCTTTGGGGTAGTTTCCTTAGACTAGGGTCCCTAGCACCAAGAATCACAAAAATATCACTGACAGATGGCTCATAGATATAAATGTGAAAGGTAAAATAAAATTGCTGGAAGAGAATTTAGAAAAATATCTTTATGACTTTTCGGTGAGGAAAGATGTCTTAAATGGTATATGCAAACTAACTATAAAATAGGAGATGGGCAAATAGTACAACATTAAAATTAAGAATTCTCTTCATTAAGTATATCATTATGGAGTAAAAAAAAGATAAGCATAGAATTAGAAAAGTTACATACAATAAATAAAATGGCAATTAACCCATTTCCAGAATATGTAAATGTTCCAACAGATGATAATAAAAAACAATTGAAAGGTAAGCAATAAACTTGTACAGGTACTTTATAAAAGATGATTTTCAAATGGCCAATAACATGACTAAGTTGCTCAACCACATTAGAGAAACAAATGAAAGCTGTGATGAGATACTATTCACTTTATACCCCCAGCTTTATAATACCAAATTTACAAAGACTGATAAAATTAAGTTGCATGCAAGGCTAAAAAGAAACTGAAATTCTCATGATAAAATGTGAATAAATACAACCATACTGCTATCATCTACCAAAACTGCACTTTGTTCTGACAATTTCACTCTTACTTGAACAACAGGAATGCATACATTTGTTCATCAAAACACTAGTGCAGGAATTTTTATGACAGTATTATTCAGAAGAACCCCAAACTGAACACAGCTCAAATATACAAAAGAAAGAATAAATTTTGGTATGTTTATAAAATGAAATGCTAAATAGTAATAAAAATAACTGAATAAAAGCTATACCCAACAACACATTGCAAAACTTAATGTTGATTAAAAGAAGGCATGTGTAATTATGCAACGTATGATTTCATCTATAGGAATTTAAAACCAAGATCAGTCTATTCGAATTAGTCAAGAGTGTTGGACGTTTTGGGGGAAGGGAGAGAAAGAAGGCAGGTGAGAGATTTTACTGCTTTTTTTTTTTTTTTTTTTGTCTTTGCCTGGATGGTGATTACATGTTCACTTTGTGGTAATTCATTAAGCTGCAGATTTATCTTTGGTGTGCTTTGCTGCATGATGTTATCGGTCAATAAAGCAGTTTAAAAATCAAGGCCCACTACCTACCCAGCAAAGGGTAACCCTCATTTCTGTTGCAGATGAGGTATGCCATACCAAACATGCTGAAGAGAAGAAGAGAAGAACAGATGTTAGATTCAAAATAGAGAAATATTGAGAGAAAGGATGACTAGTTCTTAGTTTCCAGAAAACTTCCTGTTCATTCTGTAACAAGAGCCTATCCTCTGACTCAAGATTTAAAGATACCAAAAAGAGAGTGAAGGAGAAACTCTTACCTGATCATGGAGTGTCCAAGAAATGTATGTAGCAGCCTTTATCACAGTGTTTGGCATACCATTTATAAACGCTTAGTGAGTCAGCATTGGCAGAGCTGACCCCTTTTCTAGAATAACAGAGCCCAATATGGCACTCAGTAGACTTGGATATGGTGGACTGGTTTCACCAACTGGTTCAGTAATAAGTGGTCACCTTAGTTGAGCACATGCTATGTACTGTGTTCCAAGTGTTTTATATGTATCATTTCATTTACCCCTGATAAAAATCCTCATTGAGAAGTACTATTATGATGTCCACTTTACACATGAAGAAACTGAGGTTCAGAGTGTAACTCCCTAAGCCGATGGTAACAAGATATTATCAACAGTCAATATCTAAAATTAGACTAGGGGGCATATGCTTCCTGATGCATTCTGTTGTCTCTTGAACAAATATTTGTAGTCAAATGAATCATCCCCTTCTCTGTACTATCACACTACTTTTTTATGGCCTCTGTTATAGCACATATCAGGTCTCCTGTATACATTTTGTGTATGTTGGACTTCCCTAATGGAACTTTCAAGGCAAGGAACAGGCCCTGTTCATAGTTCCTCTTATTTTCAAAGATAAAGGAAACCCATGAAGAGGGAAGAGTTTGGGATCAGATTGTCTTGGGTTTCTGTGGTAGAATATTTGTGGTCCCAACTTTTCACCACTACTTGTACCCATAACCTTTGGTCTGTGACCTTGCAAAGCCCTCCTACTCTTGGCTCAGCCTTGTAAATGCTTTGACCAACAGGGTGTTAGTAAACATGACAGAGGAAGAAGAAGCTCCAGAACTGCTTGTGTATTGGGCTTGCTCTTTCTTGTTCTTCTGATATCACTATGGCCATGTGCCTGGGATAGCCTAGCACAGGATAAGACCTATATAACCAAACTACCCCAGTCATATCACCTGAGGTGGCCCCGAATTAGCCAATAATCTGATGAATGTCAGACATGCAACAAGCCTACACAAGATCAGCCTTATCCAACCAAGATAATCAAATCCCACATATTCATGAGATAAGAAAATGTTCATTGCTACCTCCCACTAGGTTTTGTGGCTGTTCATAATGTAGCGTTAGGGTGGCATTGATTACTAGATTTATGGTTTAGACAAGTCACTTAACATCTCTGAGTTTCAGCTGAATTTATAAAATGAAAATAATGAGTCCCAACTATTAAACATATAAGATGGAGATATCAACCTCATATGGCTGATATTAAGAATAAATTATATATTTTTAACTAAAGTGCCTAATAAGAAGGGCTCACAAAATTATCATTTATTTATTTATTCACACAGCATTTTATTGATGATCTATGTTATGACAAGTGCAGTGCTGAACCCTGGAAATACAAAGGTGAATAATAGATTCCTTGTGCTAATACACCCTGGCATTGTTACCTGATCCTAGATTCTAGTTTGCTCAATAAAAAATAATACTTTTGCCTTCCATATTATTTGTTCACTCATTACAGTTGAGTGCCTGCTATTTGTCAAGCACTATGAATATAAGAATGAATGAAAGGGCCCTCCCTGGTGGCTCAGCAGGTTAAAGTGCAGCCCTGCAGGAGAGCTGCAGCCCCTTCAGTGTGAGTTCGATCCCCACCCTAGAGGTGACCCACATGGTGAGGCAGATCTTGCTTGCTGCTCCCCTCAGCAGTGTACCTCATCAATCTGCCTGTTCTGCTCTCCACTATAACTCTGGTGAGCCCTCTCACTGCCCCTGCACATCTGGCCTATACCCCAGTTCTGTATGCACAAATAAATAAATAAATCTTTAAAAAAGAGAATGAATGAGAAATAGTCACTAATCACAAAGGGTTTTCAGTTTAAAACATCAGGTCAGTAATTGTGATATGTATGAGAGTGACAGAGGCAAGTACTAGAGTGACACAAAGAAAGAAAAGTAAATTGTCTAAGCTGGAATTGGCTAGTTCCAGCCTCATAAAGGAATGAACTATTGGGTTAGATTTCAAAAATTGACAGTGGTTTCCCAGCAGACTGCGGATAGGTGAGTGACAGTGAGGAAAAATCTACTTGAAAACACTGGAGGAGGTATAAGAGGAGAGGGCACAGGAGATGAAGTTGAAAAGACAGGTGGTTTTCTTGTGTGTTCTATATAACAAGGAATTCAAACATTCTCATGAAATGATTGGAAGGGATTGAAGGAATTTTAACCTTAAAGTGACACCAATATGTCTAAGTTGGGCTTTGGGGAATGTATTTCACAAAAGACCTTAAGGGGAAAAGTGTTCATATTCTGTAGCCCTATCAGTGTGTAAGAACACAGTTGTCACAATCAGTTAATACTTAACAATGGTCCATTTGGGTCCAAACTGATACTCAAATAAGGGGATTTTCTGTTTGGTTTGCCTAACCTTTGAAGACAAAGACTCACTCTCAGATTCTCAAAACTGAGAATAGAATGGGATCTTTCACTATGTTATAATATCAGTAGGATGGGGGAAGATGAAGGATTTTGAAGTTTGGACCTAGGTGTGGGGGAGGAATAGACTTTAATTTCATGAACTGACTTCAAATTGAAAATGGGTGACCAATTGCTTTGCTGTCATAAATTCTCCCACTTCTTCACTAAGGATACTGCAAGTCAATGCCCCACACTCACACTTTCTCATTAAGGCCCAAGCACTGATAGACTGGTCCAGAATCCGCAACACCTTTCATGACTTTCTTTGGAAGCTCTTTAAAAAAGTAGGCTGGTAGGTTGCTGCCATTGTAGGTGACAGAGTCGCAGGTCACAATTCCGGGGTAGTACATCATCATTCTGGCAGCTATGTTGACTTTTTGCCCAATGACTATCACAGGAAGGCAAAAGACAAAGAGCAGGCAAAAAACATTTGTTGAACTGAATGTCATCAGAGATAGATTTGTTCCCACATGGCATTTTTTACACTTCCTCCATTTTTCATGAATGACACAAATGTCTTTTGTCTTCAGCTACTCATTATTTCATACGTGATGACTACTACAAAATATATGGGAATTAATTCAGTTATCCATTAACATAGTTTCCACCTCACTTGAAGGCCAAGGGGACAATTGAAGAGTTTTGCATACAGAGAAGGTGCTACAAATGGAATGACTACAGGCCTGGGGGAACCACAGGTAGGGGGTATTTGTTTTTTGCTGCAAGTGAGACCAAAGCAAGCTTGAGCCTGAAACACTGACCTCCAAATGAGGCACACGTTTGTGTCGGTGGGTTCCTATGCATGAAGATTTTCATTTACTTTTCCAAGTGAATCCTTTTCTTAAGACTGAATAAAAGCGGTGCCCTCCCTGGTGGTGCAAAAGGTTAGGCTGCAGCACCACAAAGTTTGCTGCAGCCACTTCAACATGAGTTCAATCCCCGGCCAGGGAGTTGACCCACATGGTGCAGCAGACCTCTCCTGTCTCACCCACTGCTCCCCTCAGCAGTGTACTTTGTCAGCCTGCCTGTTCTGCTCCCTGCTCTGTCACTGGTGAATCCTCCACCACCCCTGCACCTCTGGCCTGTACCCCTGTTTGGTATGCATAAATAAATAAGTCTTTAAGAAAAAAGGCTGAACAAAAGCAACTGGAATGGGTTTGTGTGTAGGATTCAGGGGACATTTTAAGGGTCATACTCTATAGTGTAACTTTTGAAATTAAACTGTTTAGGTTTGAAATCTACTACATGCAATTTACTTTAACATGTTCATGACTCAGTTTCCTAATGTGCATACTTGGGATGATAAGAGTACCTATCTCAAAAGCATAGTTTATGAAGATTGATCAGTTTAACAGTGACTGGCTACTAGTGAGCCCTAAATGAGTTTTACTTCTAATTGGACATTGAATGTTGCACTTTCACATAACTTGAGTAACTCTGATCAAACTTGAGTACATATTTTTAAAAATATGTATTATGAAAAAATGTGCCCTTACAATAAAGCATAGTATCATGGATCTCCATATATGTATCTATTACCCAGTCTCCAAAGCCACTAACTAATGTTCAGTTGTGCTCTGTCTTCATTTCTTCTTCTCTCCACCCTGTTTTATTTTGAAAAACATTCCCATACATTGAATCAATTTAGATATATTTGGTATTTTAGACATATTGTTTCCGAACAGCTAAACCCTGGGAGGAGTGGAGGAAGAAACAGCACTGTGAAATCTTGAGATAAATCTATAGACCATTCTCATATGAGATTAGTCCTATGTGTCAGTAATGCCAATTTTTAACAAACAGTCCCAGGCTATCCAGGAATTAAGAGGAGTAACTGTTTAATGTTAAGATGAAATTAAATATAAATTAATACTCCTCTCATTCCATGGTCTTGTAGGTTCCCACTGTCCCCCTCTAGGGACTGCAGATTTCTTACTCTCTTTATGGCCCCCTAACGGCATGCTGCAATCACTGTGCTGTTGGAAGGCAAAACTATGTGGCTTGGTTCCACCTGAAACACTGCAACCTTCCTAAAGGCAGCGCCTATGTCTTATTTTTGTCCTTCCTCTTTCACACTCCATGAGCAAGGCACAGTGTCTGCAGAAAGAAAAAATGGAGTTAAGCCAGCTCAGCGCACCTGTGTACTCATGTCTCACAGAGTGTCCAACGATCCCACAGAAGACGATCCCGCTGGCAACGCCGATGGAAACAGTACTTTCGAGAAGAGAATTATGGGGCAAGAGACAAAGAAAGTGATCAGAGAGAGAGAAAGATGTGCAGGGGAAGGGGGGGTGTGATGACACAAGGGGTGGGGCAGGATGGGAAAGGGTTTTTAACAAGTAACCTCTACCCTTTGTATTTATTTGGGCAATTGTTCAGGACCTTAGAGGTGTGAAAGAAAGACCTCTGGAGACAGAACTGAGTTCTTAGGAGTGGTAACTTAGTTCATTTTTCTGCTACTTTTAAGTGTTCATCAGAGCTATTTTCCTAGAAAATAACTTATCACCAGCTGATAGTTAACACTACCTTTGTTAGCACTAGAAAGAATAAAGTTGTTACCTTGAAAGAAAGTAACCCAGATACGCTGTGTGGCATCAAAATCTAACTCTCTACATGCTCGAGGATGACTGTGTATATAAATGGAGAGGTGCTGGACAGGTGGAAATATTCAGGGCAAAGGGGTGCACCTCTTAGAGTAGACCAGAGAAAGACTGAAGTTGGGGCCATTGGGGTGCTCAGGCTGGGGAGGCCCTAGGCTGTGGCTCTGAGGCAGCCAGGCCTGAGGATGGTAGACCCTACTGTTTTACCATGAGTGTCTCATTTTACAGCCAGATGAATACATACATTCCCGGCTCAAGGACTGATTTTATCTCCTAGTTCTTAAAATTCAACTCAGTGATCCCACAGGGTGTTTGGGGCTTCTCTGCTATCAAGAAGTCAGAAGTACAGAGCAATAGCCCAGTTAGATTCTCTTTCAAACCTGGTTTGGGACTTATTAGGATGGTTCCTTCTTCACCTTGCCTTTACCATCCCCCTCTCACACTGCATCGGGGCAGGGTATCCCCACTCCTCTTGCATATTAGGTACATAAAGAATGCAAAGAGAAGGGCATTCTGAAAGCACAGCTTCATTCCTTTCCTTTTCCTGTCTCACCATATCATACGAAAGACTCAGGCAGGAAAAGGGTCAACACTCACCGGATTTTGTGGACTTGAGAGCAGAAGTCAAATATATCCACAGCACTTTCCAAGGCATGAGTGACCTCATCAGGTGCCTTTTCCCCAGGGAAACCAAAGACACAGAGGAAGGAGCAGCCCTGTGAAGGAGAAAGTCAGTAAACACAGCAGGAGGATGTACGCTGAGACGGCCCAGTGGAGCGTAGGTAGTGGATTTCACTTTCTGAATCAGATTTCATTGTGATTTCTCTCATACCCATTTTATTTTTAGCATGCAGCATATAACTTCCAATGCATCATCAACAGCAGGGATTGAGCTCAAGAGGGACTTGTTTTTGCTCCAGAGATAATGGCTTGCACTGAGCTATTTTGGGGAGCATTCCTTTCCACTTGCTCCTGTGGCCAAGATCACAAGCTGCAGTGTGCTAGTTTAAGTATAAAAAGCAATCCAGAGCAGTGAAAAATGTACCAGTTTTGGAATCAGAGCCACTTTCCAAGTGTGGAAACTAGGATAAGTTAATTATTCCCTTTGATTTCAGTTGATCAGTCTGAAAGTGAATGTAGCATAGACCTGCCAGAGTTGTTCTGAGTACTGAAGAGATTGATGAGACTCTGTGTGTGTGTGTCTGTGTGTATAAAGTCCTTCCAGATATTGCTGTTATATGGCTATAGTTCTTAGGGATAAAGAGTTAGCTGTGAATGATTTTCTTTGGCATAAAGTTACCTATTCCAAGCAGAGATTAAACTAAAAAATTTGATATTTGTAGTCTTTAGTTGTTTGAAAAGGACATAATAAATACAGGACACTGGGGTAAACTTTTAAGTCTATAAATGATATATGCTGATGAAATACAAAAGAATAGTAAAATGCCTCCATTTCTACAATACTTTCAGAAGAAGCTCAACAAGTGTTAGGTGCTAGTGGCCAATAGACTCTGTGCTGAGACTGGAGGAGGAAGCCTGATGTAGGACTAGAGGCAAACTTTTTGGGGAGCACCACAGGTCTGCTTGGTCTGGAGTTTTGCCTGGTGACTAGGGACCATGAACATCGACCTCACTGGCAACGAGAATGACAGCTCCCATTGATGATGACTGAATAGCTATCGTGACAAAAGCCTCATCTGCATGTGCAAATTTACATACTTATACATGTCCATTTTTAAACATATGTGTGTATATATTATTTTAATGCCTTTTAAAAGCATTCAATGATCATTTGAGGCCAATACTATACTCATTCAAAGACGACTCAGCCAGGACTCAGGAGTTCAATGACTCGCCAAGTTCAATGACACAACAAAAATGGTTGGGGCCATGTCTACAAGATTTTGATGCTGGTGTCCTTGGTTCTATGCTCTTTTCTCACAATACTATTAAATGACTGCAATGAAAGTACTGGAGTGGACTGAACAAAACCACCTCCTCGGGTTAGAACGTAGATACGAATTTTCAAGTATAGAATGTGTTCTTTGTGCCTGCATTGTGGCTATGTGTATGATTACTTAAATTTACCAGAAAGTCCTTGCTTTCAACCCTTTATGAAACCCTCAATAAGTGCTTGGGGAATAGGTGAACAAGTGGGGTGCCACTCTTCAGATATGAAACCCCTGTGTTGGGGAATCAGCGCTGATGAACTCTGCTGTAGACATTTGTCAATAACAGTGCTTTACTCAGAGCTAAGAGATTTAGATTTAAAATGCCAGGAGTGGAAGTGACTCCCCTACTCCAGTGAAACTGAAAGGGAAATAGGGGCATAGATAGTGAGGGTGAAGCATACAGGGCATCTGGAGGTAGAGTAGTGCAGGTGGAGGTAGAAATAGAGCAGGTGGCGTTATTGGAAATTTTTATTTACAATAAATTATTGTTATTTGAGCCACAGATTTGTAGTGCAAAGATTACAAGACAGTTAACCTAACATCTCTGGGAGATGTGTTATCTGCTGGGCTGGAGTGCATAGCCAGTGAGAACAGAGGGGCAACATGGTTAAGAGCATACACTGCCAGACTCCCTGGGTCTCACCCATGAACACAACTTAATCTTGCCTCATTTCAGTATCCTCATCTTCACCTCAACCTTTTCACCTATAACACGGGAATCATTTACAGGTCATAATACCCTATTTTTTAGGGTAGTCATGAAAATGAAATGTGTTAATACAGTCACACATCATTTAATGACAGAGAGAATCCAATGTGAGAAACGCATTAAGAGATTTCATCTCTGGGCGAATGTCATAGTGTAATTTCACAAACCCAGAGGGTACAGCCCGCTATGCACTCAGGCTATGTGGTACTGGACCACCCTTGTCTGTGCGGTCCATCATCAACTGAAATGTTAAGCGATGTTTTACTGTGTATGCAAAGTGTTGAGAACAATGCCTGGCTGAGTTAGTGCTATATTCACCACATAGCTACTATTATAATCATGCATAAATGTCTGGTATTTCTAGGTTAAAAGTGTCTACCCTTCCCCCCTTCCTTCCAACAAAGTCTGTGGGTATGAATGCTAACTTTAACAATTTGTTAGGTAGTTCATATCTACCTTATCAAACATGAAGACTTTATTGATTTGGCCTCGGAAGACTCTCAGGACAGAACTGATGTGCACACAGGCAGCCTGGATGGCCGCGCTTATGACTTCTACTTTATCTTGTTCCTTAAACATTAGGTTTACGAACACAATTGTCACTGGGCGGAGCTCAGACAAATAACCCCGAAGCTGTTTGTCATCAATCTGTAAGGTAGAGAGAAATTTGCCTTAGCATGGGTCCTTGGCAGGGGCTCCTTCTCACTCTACCACCACTCTGTGGCCCCCTCGATTATCAACTGGGACAGAACTAGCCCATTGAGATTCTCAGGAGGCTGCAGTTATCCGAATGTGTGAGGCACAACATGGCAGAGCCAGTGCAGATGGAAATGGAATGTGTTATCAATACCTCTGCCTACTGGAACTTACACACTTGTTTATTTTTGACCAACCACCACTCCCTTACCCCAAATTCTAGATCCTGCACCAACCATTATCTTCTGCCTACCCAGCCATGCCTGTATGAGCCCTCACAATAACAGAAAAAACTACCATTCCTTTTGGCACTTTACAATTCAGTTATAAGAATAGTGTGCTATACTGGACTAT